TAACCTAAATTATATATAATTTTTTTTTTTTTTTTTTTTTAATTGTAATTTATTATATTCCACACCAAGTAGAAAGGTAACAGTTCAAAATAAAACAAGAATACAAAAGTAAATACATTTTATCCCTCCCCCCTCCCACATCCCTCCCCCCCACCCCCCACCCCCCAAGATGTCCTGCGACAGGTTTTACCCAAGGCTACAAGCAGTATTGCCTACATATACGTACTGGTCTTTGAGTTCTAGAAGAGAAAAAAAAAAACAAGAACAAAACACAAAACAAAATATCCAAATAATGATAGTAATAATAAAATTTTGAATTAGGTTCATTAACATGGAAAAAAAAAGTTAAAGAAAAAAAAAGTAGACACAAGAAAATGAATAAATACAAAAATAATATTATATAATATTCTTCTTACAATGTTCTTAGATTTAATAGATATATAATAATGTTATTCCAAATCTTAATAAAAGTTTCAGGTTTACCACTTATGTTATATTTGATCTTTTCAAGTTCCATGAAGATCATCATATCTTTAAGCCATGTGGATACTTTCGGAGCTGTTGTTGATTTCCATTCTAGAGCAATTCTTCTACGTGCGAGTAGTGTTGCAAATGCAATGCTCTTCTGATGGGTCTTTTGGCTCTCAGGTAAGACACCAAAGATTGCTAGTTCAGCACATGGTAGTAGTGATATGTTTAAGGACTCTGACAGATGTTTACTGATCATGGTCCAGTAGTACTGGAGATGTGGACAGGACCATATCATGTGAGACATATTTGCCGGAGACATGTTGCACCTGTTACAGCTATCACTTACATTTGGGTACATTTTTGAAAGTTTATGGTTGGTGAGGTACAGTCTGTGGACAATTTTAAATTGAATTTAAATTATATATAATTTTAACACTATCTTCGGCAGGTATCGTTTCCTCAGACTCCCATTTGGCATTGTATCGGCTCAAGATGAGTTCCAGAGGAGGATCGATGAGACATACGAAGGCCTTGATGGTGTTGCAGGCATTGTTGATGACATCATCGTGTTCGGGAAAACAAAAGAAGAGCACGATAAAAACCTCAAAGCCATGCTCAACCGCACCAGAGAAAGGGGTGTGAAACTGAACCCAGACAAATGCTGCATCTGTGTCACTGAGGTGAGTTTTTTCGGACATAAACTCACAGCCAACGGACTAAAACCAGATCCACGGAAAGTAAAAGCAATCAGAGAGATGAAACCTCCTCAAAGTGCTGCAGAGTTAGAGACAATCCTTGGTATGGTGAACTATCTTGCTAAATTTGCTCCCAACCTGGCAGAGATGAGTGCACCACTGAGGAAGCTGCTGCACCAAGACACTGAGTTCACATGGCAGGAGAACCACGAACATGCGTTCCAGCAAATCAAAGACACTCTCACTGCTGAACCAGGGCCAGTGCTGGCCTATTTCCACCCAGGAAAAGAGGTAACACTACAAGTGGATGCATCAAAAAATGGGCTAGGTGCAACTGTTATGCAAAACGGTAGGCCAGTTGCGTACGCTTCAAAACTGCTAAACAAAACAGCAGAACTACGCCCAAATAGAGAAGGAACTGTACGCTGTTCTCTACGGCTGTAAAAGATTTCACGACTACATTTACGGGCGAAACATTACAGTCGAGTCAGATCACAAGCCACTAGAAAGCATACTACGCAAACCGTTAGCCCTCGCACCACCACGACTACAGCGCATGCTGCTCGCTCTTCAAAAAATACAGCATAACGCTCATTCATAAGCCAGGAAAAGAGATTCCAGTAGCGGACACATCGTCAAGAAAATCACTGGAAGACACTGACAGTTCACTGGCTGAGGCAATGGAAACGCAAGTACATATGGTAACTCGAACAGCACCAGTAAGCTCAAAAAAACTGGGAGATATCAAAACATCCACTGCCCAGGACGAACAACTCTCTGCTCTCAAGCGCATTATCCAGTCAGGCTGGCCGGAGACACGAAAAAAATGTCCCACACTCGTCAGTGAGTATTGGAACCATCGTGATGAAATCACAGAGACTGATGGACTTCTTCTGAAAGGTGAAAGAATAATAATTCCTCTCACTAAGAAAAGACATGTTAAAACGCATACACACAGGACATTTTGGAGTTGAAAAAAGCAAACACAGAGCAAGAGACATAATGTTCTGGCCTGGCATGGGAAAACAGATTGAGGAGACAGTGTCTAAATGCGACATTTGCCAAACACATCGCAGCTCCAATCAAAAAGAGCCCATGCTGCCTCAAGAAATCCCAGAAGTGCCATGGCAAACTGTCGGAACAGACTTGTTTTCATGGAACTCAGAAAACTACATTGTAATATGTGATTACTTGAGCAGATATTTTGAACTCGAACGTCTGTCAAATATCACCACTGCAGCTGTCATTCACAAAATGAAAGCAGCGTTCTCTCGACATGGCGTACCAGAGAAAGTCATCAGTGATAACGGACCATGTTATCGCTCCCAAGAGTTCAAGCGATTTGCAGAACTTTGGGATTTCCAACACGTCACATCAAGCCCATGTTATCCCCAAAGCAATGGCTTAGCCGAGAAGACTGTTCAAACCGCAAAACGCATTTTGACTAAGGCAAAAGAGGACAAGAAGGATCCATACTTGAGTTTACTCGAGTACAGAAATACACCTGTTGACGGTCTAAAGTCACCTGCTCAGATCCTCATGAGCCGCAGGTTACGTTCCATCTTGCCCACAACGACAACACAGCTGCGCCCTCAGGTCACCCCACAGAGCTTAGTGCATGCAAGGAGAGAGGAGTGCCAGTACCGCCAGAAACTACACTACGATACTTCTGCACGACCCCTACCCACACCATGCACAGGGGCACCAATCCGCTACCAGCAGGAAGATGGTAGGTGGAAACCTGCAACTATCATTCAACCAGCAGAGACCCCACGCAGCTACCATATCAGAACCAGCGACGGTCAGACCCTACGACGCAACCTACGCCACCTTCTTGGCACCCGAGACAAATCACCTACAGAGGCAACTCGACAAAAGGACACAACTGCTGAAGATTCAAGCCCAGGGATGCCGTCTCCCTATCGCACTCCAAGCACAGGCATTGACCCCTGTCATCGTTCGAGATATGGCCGTGTCATAAAACCAAGGCATATTCTAAACTTGTAATGGATTATAGACATGGTATTGTTGTACGAGAGATTGGTAATATAACAACTACATGTTCTGTGTAATGCAATGTTCCTGCTACTACTTCTCTTTGCCATAGCACTAGAATGTTATCATTATTGTTCAGTACTAAGAAGCATCTATTTATATTATATATATATATATATATTTAGTCGTTATTATACGGCTCCTCACAGCAGCAGTAGAATGCTTCATTGATTTGAATGTAATTTCAAAACGTTCTACCGGTCATTATTTTCTATAACGGACCTCTCAAAACAATAATGACCGCTGCCCATGGCAACGCACTCTGTGCTTGTCTTTCAAATGCGTGGATAACTCCGCAAGTAGTTCCGGCCACTCCTGAGCTAGCCACGCTCAATCAACACACTTAAATGTTAATCGGAGAATACTTATACATATACATTCTTCACACACGTGCACGGAAATTTTCAGAATTTTCTGGTCTTGTCTTCATGACAAAAATACTATTTCTCTGCGTCAAAAAGCGATCGTGAAAAACCCCGAAGTAGTTCCGGCCGCTCAATAAACGCAAATGCCAATCAATCAACGCAATGAAATGTTTATCGGAGAGTGAATTATACATATCCAGTCTTAATACAAGTGCACGGAAGTTTTCAGAATTTTCCGTTTACGTTTTCATGACAAAAACACTGATGTAATGCGAGAAAAGGCGATCCCGAAAAACCCGGAAGTAGATACCGGCACATTTTCGGACACATTTGCAGAGGATCGAATTATGGATTTAGGTTAGGTTTATGTATGGGTCACTCACTGCTGATGTTCAGAATTCTTTGTTCCTTTTTCATGCAGTTCCAGAGAGTTCTAGTTTGGAAGTTGCCAGCCTAACTGTTGCTAGCATAGCCACGGGAAAGCCTTTGGGAACTATTTTATTTTCTGTCATTAAATAAACCTTTCGGCATTCCTAAAAGTGGATTGAAGTTAATGTTATGTGTTCTGTTGGTATAAAGCCGTATAATAAGCGGGATAACGTATATTACGCAGGTCATTATCGGAAAATAAGTACCTTCAGGGCGGAAGCAGACGCCCTGTCGGTACTTATTTTCCGATAATGACCTGCGTAATATACGTTATCCCTTACATATATAATGACACATTCGTTCTGCTCTGAACATGGCATGTTAGTACTCCTTTAGTCCACTAGAGGGAGCCACTGGTCTGCCTTTGGCTCTTCAGATGAATCAGACCAGTGAAAGAAGACCATCCTCAGCCATTGAGTCGGATAGTCAGTCAGTCGGAGGCCTCTTTATACTAGAACATGTCTAATAATATGAAGATGTGTCTTATTCATTGATAGTAAGACGACTTAAAGCCTGTGTGCTTTGTCCATGTTTCAATGAAAAGTTTTGACCAAAGATGGAGCCAAATGCCAATGTATCTAATATCCCGTCACCGTCAGTAATATAAAGTAGAGAAATACCCTAAATTCTCCTAAATGACCCAAGGCTGGTCAAGTAAGAAAACAATTCTGCTTGATTAAAAAAACACCCTAAATAATTAATCAATGTGGCGGGTCAACCCGAGGATCGCACAAGGGTTAAATGTTCGTAATACATTTTATGTTTGAGGAGAGCAGAAGCAGGCCCTTCAACGATTGGGTCAAATTTCTAGTCGGGACTTGCATCCCCACGCATGCGCGAACTGTAGTTTGTACGGGCAGTTCACAAGGGAGAAGTGGAGTTTGGGCGAGAAGCGCCTTTCTGCAGTTGTCGGGGAATCAGAAGAGTTTCTCTAACGCGAAACTGCACTTTAAAGACACAGACGTGAACAAGAGTGGCACGGAGTATGGGTACGTACCCCGCATCGAGACACAGCCTCAGAGCACCACCTCTGTTTACCTGTAGCTTTACCAGGCAGAGGACAGAGTCGTATATTCATAATTACTGAGGTCGTGTCGCGACCGAGCGCCTATAAAGTAGTGATGGGTTGATGAAGCTTCATGAAGTGTTGAACCTTTTCATCCATTGGTTCGAGAAAAGGTTAATTTCTTGATGCTTCATATGCTCACAAACCTCCTGTTGGTCAAAATCTGTATTGACATTTGAACTGTTTGTGAGGCTCTTGGTGCATAGGAATTAATACTCGCAACAGAAATAATAATGTAATTTGATTGTGTATGACCCATTAATTCATCTGTTTCATTATGATCAATATCATTAGTGAAAATTAATATATTTTAAATGACAATAACATTATAATGTACTGGTAACTGGTACAGTTGTCTGCTCTAACACACACACACATATATTTAATAATGAATGATTATAGCTTGTCAAGTCAAAATCAATGTTATAAGTCCAATAGGACAAAAAACATGTTGAAAGTGTAAGTGCTTTTCAAAGGACGTGACACAAATGGGGATATCAATTGGGATTGTGACCCCATCAGTTGTTTTAAACCTAAACATTTCTGATAAAGTTCTTACACATGTATTTACATCAAAGTGCTCTCGGTAAGATTCGAACCCCGGTCTCCCAGGTCCCAGCCCTGCTTCCCTACCAATCGAGCCAACCAGCTTATACTTCAGTCCTCTCCATCACTGACTAAATTAATCAAGACAAACACACGAAGTTTGAGCGGATCCTCTGCAGTACTTCATGAATCTCTCCATTTCCTGTGCTCCCGAGGCTTCAAACGTCATTGGTGACGTCACTCATCTAAAACAACTCAGGCTTCGGCTCGCGCTCCGATAAAAACTTCAGGGATTTCTTGGCTCACGCCCCGAAGCGCCGACGCGGCACGACCCATCACTGATATAAAGTACCCCTCTGTAAACATGTTGAGCCGGTTTTTTTTGTTTAAAAAGAAAAAAAGTTATGTATGCAATTATTTAAACGACATTTACATACATTGCAGTAAAAACATACATTTAAAGGGGGTGGGGGGACAGACAAGTTTTCTCTGCCCCCCCACCCCCATTATAATTATTAATAAAGTCATAGAATATTGTCCAAATATCCCTGAATTGTTGCAGATTGCTTCTTGACAAGAATGTTATTTTATCCATTGGAACAGAAGAGGTCAGGTCCTTTAGCCATTGAGAGATCCCACATATATTTTGCTCCTTCTAGCATTTAGCAATGCATTGCTTGGCCTCCAAAAGACCTAAAGAAATCACAGTTCTTACATTTGCTTATATTATAAAGTTTCTAGGAAAAAATACTCAATACAAAGTTTAGGACATTGGAGAATATCTTTACCAATGATTTGGCTCAACCAATCCAGAACCTTGCTCCAAAAGTCGTATATAATTGGACATTCCCATCTGATGATGTTGAGACTTATGGCTCACAGTAAAACATCAAATAAACACTCTACCGCCCACTCCGCTCCTCCTCTGCTCAAAACTGAGCTATTCAGATGCACCCATCCCACATAATCCTCCATATTTCTCATATCCTTTTATAGAACTTCTGCCACTCCACACTGTATTTCACTTCTGGGCCTTGTATTGTATTGTATTTTTTATGTGTGTTTTATACTGTTTTTATGCATGCCTGTAAGGTGACCTTGGGAATTTTGAAAGGCGCCCACAAATAAAAATGTATTATTAAATAAAACTTAAGAAATTCTAAGAAAGTTAGAATTAATGTCCTCGTCTTTAAATAGGTGTTTCATATGTGATAATGACAACAATTATGACAATAACCCTTTAGTAAGTTTACCATTCATAATTTCATATATACAGGAAACGGTCCTGTAAACACCAATACACACACAGAGCTATTGTTCTTCATATTTTAGTAGATAATAATTATACATATTTGGTTTTATAACAATATTATGATCTCATCCTGGGTACAATCCCAGTCGGAACAGGGCCTTTCTGAGTGAAGTTGGTTCTCCCCGTGTCTGCGTAGGTTTCCTTCAGCTACTTTACCTTACCACTAAAAGTATCTACAATAGGTAAAATCCTCCAGCTCTGGTCCAGAAGACCTCCTGACCCAAGATCTGCGTGTGTGTTTCCAGGATGCATCAATTGTGTAAAGCCTGTTGGTCAGTGCAGAGTGAGTTTGGAGTGTTTGATCTGAGTTTGGTCTTGTAGTCATGTAGACCTCCCCATAGACCTCACATCCTCCCCCTAGATTCAAACGTCTTGTTAGTTGTGCTGATCTTTTACTTCTGTTATCTGAACTAATTCAACTCTGCATGAGTTGATTGATATTCCTCATTCACACTGAGCACAAACCCCAGGGCTGGCAGGTTCAAGCTCGGCATTCAACCCACCTCCCAACCTAGTATTTGTGCCGGATTCAGAGAGACCAGAGAGTGCTTCACTCACCCAAACATGGCTCGTTACTCTGTCATTATGCAGAGTACTGTCCTTGGTCACTTCTTCACCCACATTTTCAGAAAATTTGGTCACAAGGTTGATTGAATGCCAACTTGTTCTGACACACCAGCCCATGTCTCTCAGCGTGTGGAAGAGGCTGTTTATTTGTGTATCAGGAATGAAGCATGTCCCTATGTGTATGTGTGTCTCTGTCTCTTGTGCTTTCAGTGACGTCGGTCCTCATTGTATACGCGCACCAGAGCAGCAGTTCGTTCAACGCGGCAGTCAAAGATGTGGCGGTGAAGGAGCTGCGGTCTCTGGGCTTCAAGGTGACCGTGTCTGACCTATACGCCATGGGCTTCAAGGCTACCGCCACCCGAGAGGACATCCTGGGTACTGCAGGCTTTCAGCAGGACAGTCAAATACCAAGTTTATCCCTTGTGCAACCCTCAGGTCAAAATGAGTGATTAAAAGTAGACCCTTTTGGATCCTAATTTAGGGTCTTAAAGGGTCTAAATGAAAAAAGATTTGGGGTATTATTAAAGCGTTAAAGAGATGTATCATGTATCCACTATTCCTTTGTCATCTCCATGTTCAAACACACACAAGGATAGGTGGTAGGTGAAACAGATTCTTTTGAGGGACAGAGATTCAAATTTGAATTTTGTGAATTCTTAAAATTCAAATAATGTTAAAATAATATTGAGACTTTGTCATGTTTTAAATGTGGAGTAATACATGATGCTACCAGAGTGAGCAGCTTCTGCCATCAGAGCTCCCTGTAACTCCCGATGCTGCTACCAGAGGGAGCTACATGAGGAAAAGTGTTAGCACATAGAGAAAAGCTCATGAAAGACTTTTTTGCATCATGTGTTTCCTTAAATGAACATTACAGGGTCCACAGCTGGATTCAGGAAGGTTTCTGACAGAGATCTGTACTTCTTTTGTTTGCAGCCGAGTTGAAAAGTCCAGAGAACTTCCGCTACGGAGAGGAGATGGAGGAGGCCTGGAGAGCACAGACCCTCAGCGACGACATCAAAGAGGAGCACAAGAAAGTTCTGGAGGCCGACCTCATTATCTTCCAGGTCAGAGATGTTGAAATGATAGATGGTTTTCCGATGACATCACGCACTACCCACAATTCCGCCGATAATTGTAGGTAACAAAGCGTAGCACATCACTTTTTTGCGCTAAAATATGCCAACTACCTGCGTCGTTTGGGGGTGCAGTGATTTACGGCCTGTGATATTGACTGCTTCGTTCAAAATAAATTAGTTATTGAAAGAAATATTGCATCAAATACATCATGACCTTTTTTTAATTGTAAAACCGTTAAGTGAAAGTAAGCCATTTCTGGCGAAGTCCACTGGTCTTGCCGCATTTCATATGGATCCAAATCTCCGATCACTCAAATTCTCTAAGTGTCTTGCCTTAGATTACGTTCAGTGTATCAATATACCTAACGCGGCCAGCGTCGGCCGAATTCGTGGCTTTAGATGACACGGGGACATATGATCCGTGACAAATTATCAGTGACAAATGATCCGTGCAAAACAAGCTTGACACACAACATGGCATTCGCGCAAAGCATCATGGTTAATGCGCACATGGCGGATAACCATCTATAGCAATGTCATAAACTCCTCTTCTGACCTCTTCTAATTTGATCATTTAAAATGTGTGCCCTTGGACTGGCTCAGGCAGGTACTGTACGGACTATAGGGTTTTCTCCCCTCACATGTTGCTCCTCCCTCTCCTGCAGTTCCCCATGTACTGGTTCAGTGTTCCGGCTATCATGAAGGGCTGGTTTGACCGTGTGCTCACAGGGGGCTTCGCTTTCTCCCTCAAGAACATGTACGACAACGGGATCTTTAAGGTATGGCCCGGAAGCAGCTAGAAAAGCTGTTTAACTCTGAATGTGAGAGCCACTAGAAGAGCTGATGAACTGTGAATGTGAGAGCAGGTACAAGAGCTGTGTGACTGTGAGAGCAGCTAGAAGAGTTTCTTTAACTGTGATTGACTGAAGCTGATAGAAGAGCTGTTTAACTAACTGGACATAACTAGGACTGGTAGAAGAGCTGTTCTTCTGTCTGCTCATCCAATGGAGGTGATGTTCTGTGCAGGAAAAGAAGGCCATGCTGTCCTTCTCTACCGGAGCCTCACAGTCCATGTTCCGTCCTGACGGAGTGAACGGAGACATGAATGTGGCTCTGTGGCCCTTGCAGGTCTGTCCACCCCCACACACACTGACATCCCCATGCTGAGGCCCTCACAACGCACTGATGACACATTTACTGAATTTATCCATCTGTGAGATAATAAAGGATTGATTGATTGATCCCTGGTTTATCACAAGGTCACATTCTAAAAATAATCCACAATAAGTGAAATCCACTAGAAATAAACCATAAAGAGAAGAGAGATACCAGAGAGAGATCAGGTTTAAGCAGCAACGCTCTCCACATACTATCAAATATCCCTGGTTGCTAACAACAGAATGAGCGGGAATGTGGAGACAAATGTATGCACAAAGAGCCTGTTGGAGTTGGCTCTAATCCACATTAAAACAATTGGTATAATTGTTAGTTACCTAATGTAACTTAAGTTCTACGAATGGTGCGTAGCCCCATATAGGCTACGCCAGGGGTGCTCACACTTTTTCAGCATGCGAGCTACTTATAAAAGGATCAAGTCAAAATGATCTACCTACTACAAAAATGCAAATCATATATTTATTTAAAAAAATATTCTTTATATCTACAATGTATGTTTATGTACATGCAAAACCGCATGAGCCAATATAGCACAACACAATTACCTATGTACATTTTTTGTCATTACCCGAGTTTACTCTTATGACTTGCACTGAATTGAATCGGCCAGGGATGCATAGTCCGGAAAATTGGTGGCAACTCGCTGACAAGTTTGTCGTGGTTTAGCTTTCCTGCACGGAGCGCGGTTGTTTGCGCATGTGCAGTCACCTAAGTGTCAGTAAAACATTACTGAGTAAAACACAGATGTCATTTGACTGTGGTGCCATGTCCATGTGCCATGCCTGTTTTTTTTAAATCCAAATATTTCCCCTCCTCAGTTTATAAAATAATTTGCATCCACACTTTTGCGTTATCAATCACATTCGTAACATTCCAAACATGTGCGTCTCTACGTCCTGTCCTGCGTTGGGGAAAACACGGAGGTGGGCGGAGTTCTGATGCAGACGCCGGTAACGGCACTTTTACAGTCATAGAAGACACTCAGAGTAAAGACGTATATTTACAAGGACTGACCCCCGTCCTCAGTCCTGGTTTAGTCCTGGTTTAGTCCTGGTTTAGTCCTGGTTTAGTCCTGGTTTAGTCCTGGTTTAGTCCTGGTTTAGTCCTGGTTTGGTTCTGGTTTAGTCCTGGTTTGGTTGTTTTCGAGCGTGAGTCCCCGCGATCACTTTGCTGCTCTCTGATGTGGAGGATGTTCGCTGCTGCGAGCATCTCACAGCGAACAGTTTTTAAAGGAATAGTTCACCGTTTTTACATACTGACATATGTTCTTACCTTACCTTAGACTAGTTAATATGTACCTGTCTGGTCTTAGTCCGTGCGCTCTGTCATGCAAACGGAGCAAAAACGGGAGGACAAATGCAGCCTCCTCTGTATACTGTGTAGCACCAAAAGGTAGCTCCCGCTAGAAGCTACCAAACTCTTCCAAGTGTTCCCTATTAAATGTATATAGTTACGTGACGTGTTACACTGCAAAGTATAGTAACACAGAAATGTAACAGTCGATTTTCTCAGCGGATAAAACGGGTACTATATTGTGAGGCGTAGTAATCTGAGGAGCGCTACGTCCGCGCACTAACTTCTCTCTGTACTACAAGTCACGCTGCTTCTATTGACGGAAGTGAGCGAGAGAGAAGTCTCCGGACAGAAGTTAGTGCGCGGACGTAGCGCACCTCAGATTACTACGCCTCACAATATAGTACCCGTTTTATTGGAGGAGCACATCCACATCTGCTTCTTGTAGCTCAGGGAAAGGATTTTCCTCAGTAGGCTTCTTTTTTTAATCAACAAAGTCATACGAGCAAACATACACTTTTAGGCAACTTCTTCAACTTCAAAGCTGCCAGCCACAGCCTGGACTCATAGTTAGCCGTTAGCTTCCCATACGGAAAACTCATGAACATAACACGCTCCTTCCAGCCATACAGCCAAGCGTTTCCAAGTTAGTACAACCACGGTCCACACAGAATGTCCCAGAACCTTGTTTGCGTTTTGCTACATCCATTTTAAATTCTGAGGACGTAGAATGAGCCTCTCTTTGGTCTGATCTGCAGTTGTGTGAGCCGCGACTAGCGCTAACCGGAAACCAGAGACAGCACAGAGGGTCGGCACAAGATCATATACGGAATCGGAACGAAACCGGAAGTAACACTCATACTTTCTAATTAGTTTTAGACTAATGTGTCCTTAAATGGTGACTGGTTAAGATGGTTAAAGTGGTTCTCACCCCGCTCCTCGGAGCTTACGTCACTCACATTTCCTGTTCAAATCTTCCTCTAAATGGGGGTAGCCTGGAGGACTAAAGGGGGCGTGAACGAGACTGGGCCGTTTACATAGCTCTGGGCGGGGGGCTGCTGACGTCAGGTCTTGCTGGCGCGCCAGTGTTGGCGCCAGATTCAAAATTCAAATGTAGTAATACAGGTCGCCAGCAGATGGCGCCTCACAGACGGTTTTAGGCAGAAAGTTTATCTTTCAACTAATTTGCACCAAAGTGACAAAATAATGACCAGGATATGTAGACAACACTATTGGACACTCATTTATACCGTTTATCAGCAAAAAAAAGTGGATTTGAGGGTGAGTTGTGGGTTAAGGGTGGGTTGGGATTATTTTATGGGAATGGCTGGTTAAATTTAGGCATTAATAGGTAATTTGCGCCCATGGTTACCCCCAGAAAACTTGTCTATAGGATGGAGGGGTTAGATGCTAGAAACAAAGTAGACAATGTGAATGAGGGGGAAAGGGAAATAGGATGTTTTATCTATGGTCATAAGGATCATAATAACGCCAGTAGATTATTATCATAATTATTATTACTATCATTACGTTCATCATTATGACACCAAGATGTAACTATACACACACATACATACATACGCGTGTCTCTTGTTTCAGAACGGTGTGCTCCACTTCTGTGGCTTCCAGGTACTTGCCCCTCAGATCTTCTGGAGCCCCGCCCACAGCCCTGAGGCTGTGCGTGCCGCCATGCTGGAGGCGTGGGGGCTGAGGCTGAAGACGCTGCTGAGTGAGTGCCCTCTGTGCTTTGCCTCCTCCATACTGTTTGACCTCAGCTTTCAGGGAAAGTTCTCCCTCCGGCCGGACGTGAAGCAGGAGCTGGAGGCCCAGGATTATGGCCTCACCACAGGACACCACCTGGGGAAACCTCTGCCTCCGGACAACCAGCTGTGTGCACCAGGGGGTGCTCACGGACACCCATAATCATAAGCACCACCAAAACACAACAGAGGGGTCTTTCACCAGAGAGGCTCCTCACAGAGAAGATTGTCACTCTGTTTGATTAAAAATATGTTTACAAGCATTTCATTTCCTTCTGCAGTCATTCTACAATGATCTGAGGCATGAACCTCAGAAGGAGAAAGACTAGAGTCAGAGAGCCCAGAGAGAGAGCGGAGATGAATATTGAGACCATAGATATGTGCTGACAAAGAAAATGACAGCGACACTTTGTTTCATGTGGATTGTTCCAAGAAATAGAGACATTTGTGACAAACTTAGACTAGAATCTGACTTTTAACACTTGCCATAGTTACCTTTCGTGTTACCAGGAGAGGTGTTTCAGCTGCTCCACTACAATGTGAAACTATTGACCAGATGCATCAACGTCATCCAGTCACGTGATTGTGAATGAGCTTACGGCGGAAGTATTGGAAACTAGCATTGCTGCGAGAGCAAAACGGACACAACTCTTAAAAACGGAGCTTCCTCTCCTAAATCGAGAAGTGGCTGCTTCAAGCACATGTTCAATTACGTTATAGGTGGAAGTAGGACATCAGGTCAGGGCTCACAAAGAGTGGTATTTGGAGAAGTTAAGGATTGCCTAACTGGATGTTGACCTGTACCTTCTCCCCCCAGTCAATTTTATCGATTAAATAAAATGTCTATTTTTGCCCAAATTCACCCTACATGATCTTAATCATTATCGTTAACAATGCATCCCCTCACACTGGAGCAGATTAATATGTAAATTTTGCTGGTAGCATTAGCAATAGTCCACTTTTCTGTGTCTTTTCTGTCTACAGCCAAACATGATACGTACTGACGGGAGAGGAAAATAGTGAAACACGCAATTGACTTAAAAGATAAAAATGTCAATGTTGCAGCGCACATACAGGACAGTAGTAAGAGACACGTTTGACGTGTGTCATTGTCCTCCAAATTAATGGAAATAAAATAAATACAAACTTGTGATTGCTTTATCTTGTAAAAAAGTGTTCACTGCATATTAGGGAGTACTTGGATGAGTCCCAGTCCTTTTGGTTGATTGCCGCTGGCCATCGTCGTCTTCTGTCTTCATGACGAGCAGGTATCAGATAAAAAAGCTTATGTCCTTGCTTGTTAGTATAATCAATCGCACTGCAAAATGTCACAGTTTTGGCTGTAATGCAGAAAGGGCAAGCACTATTTGCGACTCACGGCAACTTCCGGTGACTCGCGTGACTCAGGCGCTGTGAGCCGCGACTCAGCAGCCAGAAGTCGTGACTCACCGTTAAAAATAACACAATTCTTTGCTTCTCAGGGGTATCTGGGAATGATCAATGAGACAATATGGATCTGGAGGCATTGTTTACAAGTAATCAGTATGTTAGACACTCTACATCAGCTAGTATGTGTTTGTATAGCAGTCCATGTCCGTTAACCACTGACTCAGGCGCTGTGAGCCGCGACTCAGCAGCCAGAAGTCGTGGCTCACGGTTATCAATTTAGCTTTTTAGGGGTATCTGTTGATTATCAATGACACATTGTGGATCTGGAGGCATATATTTACAAGTAACCAGTATGTTACACACTCTTCATCATCTGGTATGTGTTTATATAGCTCTCCATGTTCGTTAACCACTGACTCAGGAGCTGTGAGTCGCGGCTCAGGAGCTGTGAGTCGCGGCTCAGGAGCTGTGAGTCGCGGCTCAGGAGCTGTGAGTCGCGGCTCAGGAGCTGTGAGTCGTGGCTCACAGTTAAAATACAGCATATTTTTGCTTTTTAGGGGTATCTGGGAATTTCTAATGAGACTATATGGATCTGGAGGCATAGTTTACACGCCTACTTCACGACACGCCTCTGTCCTGCAGGCCGCAGAATGACTACTTCGAACCCGCAGCAACACCTTTTTGAACAGGTGTGGGCTTATTCTATACATTAGCACGTAGCTCAACATGTCCTTCCAGTGATGTGCGGCACCACTCTGCTGCTATTCATGACTGAGCTGTATATGTTCCTGTATTGGGAGACAAAGTAACAGCTCATGTGGAAACAAATGTTCATGTTATAGTGCAATGTGTGCAAATGTATTAGCTACAGCCAAGTGCAAAACTGAAATGTATCAAACCTAAACCAAATCTTTATTCTTTATAATTGGTCTATTAAAGTGAATTACGTTGTGCATTTTTTTATAAAGTTTGTTTTCCTTCTCTTCTGTGTGTGGCTCATCTTGATGTGTCGTCTCAGTAGTTCTGTAATTCAAGAATAACCGGTTAACTACACTTAATTTTTGCATAGAAAAGAAATGAGAGAAAAGAGGCATTAAGGAGAAAAACATGTCTTGATGGCTGCAGCATGACACCTGTATTTCCACTGCATTTGTATCCTGTATAATGCTCCAGGATCAGATGTTTAAAGGGTATAAGGGAGCTACACTTTTGGAAACCCTAAAACATTTGATTCAGGATGATCACGGAGGCAGTTATGAGGGAAAGTACAGGTGCCATGCAGCAGTCCATACAGCCACTGGGCCACCAAAGGCTCAAATAAGCATCTTCAAACATTTCACCACAACAGAAGTTACTTGAATTCTGTTTTTGAACATCTGGGTTCGGTAACATGATCATATAAAATTATGTCATTAGGGTCTTTCTCTTAATTCTCTATTTACAATAGTAAGTCCACCTCAGCACACTATCCTCTAAAGTTAACAATAATCATTTTTTTTAGAATTAAAATGCCCTGAAATGAAATGCCCTGATGCTTGTGTTTGTTCAAAGACAAAGAAATCTCTACTCTGGGTTCTTGGCTCACTTTGTCATCCACATTATATTACTATAAGGACAAATTGGTACAAGTGGCTTTTATAATTGTGTTTGTTTGTGTATTGTATGTATGTTTTTTCAAATGCCTTTAGCATTATTAATAAATAACAAATAATAATGTCTCAGTGGTTTTTTAGTTATTTATTTCTTATGTGACCAAACCTGTGTTATACACCTTGCCTCATCTTTTGTCCTATGGAGTATACACTCTGCTCTGTATCTGCAAGTTTTGTGTATTCTTTGAAGCCACAGAATTACAACCAAGGAATTTTACACAAGTTTTTTTTTTTTTCCTGTTTAAATGTCATGCCCTTTAAAATGTTAAAATGATTAAAAGACAGATTCCAAAAAACGAAACAAAATAACCTACCTCAATATTTTGGTGACATTTAAATTGCAAGCGAGATGTCCAACGTCGTGCATGATTCAACATGAGATTAGACAGCGCCCCCTGGTGTCAGCAGACGAGTCCTGACTTATGTCTCGTAAGTCACTTGTTAACAATAGAGTAATACAAACACATATCAGCTGGTAAAGTATGTATGAGGCACTGAGGACATGGAAAATGTTCATCCAGATACATTAATAATTCATAAATACTCCTAAAAAGTCTTTTTCATTAGAATATGAAATAAGCCCTGCAAATACATGTAATAATCTGTATTTAGGCCTGTATCACTTAATCAACCACTTGCACTATGACTGTAAACCTGCGCTGCTAATACTGAGTCTGTTTATTTTACTAAGGATGCACCAATACCAATATTAGTATTGTGCCGTTTCCACATACTTGTGCCGTTTCCACATACTTGTGCTCATACTCATTCATGAGGTCCCATGACTGTATATAAGATACCACGATGGGGCGTCTTGCTTCAGTGGGAGCAGGTGGTTGTGGGGGCACGACCCCACGATCATTAGGTCCAAAGACCAAAGCTCTGCCAATTGAGTCACTGTTGCCCCTAATAATTCCCAGATACCCCTAAAAAGCACAGATTTGTGGTATTTTTAACCGTGAGCTATGACTTCTGACTGCTAAGCCGCGACTCACAGCTCCTGAGCCGCGACTCAGGAGCTGTGAGTCAGTGGTGAACAGTTCATAGAGATCTATACAAACAAATACCAGCTGATGAAGAGTGTGTAACATACTGATTACATGTAAACTATGCCTCCAGATCCATATTGTCTCAATAGAAATTCCCAGAAACCCCTAAAAAGCAAAGATTTGTGGTATTTTTAACTGTGAGCCTCGACTTCTGACTGCTGAGTCGCGACTCACAGCTCCTGAGTCAGTGGTTAACGAACATGGAGAGCTATATAAACACATACCAGATGATGAAGAGTGTGTAACATACTGGTTACTTGTGAATATATGCCTCCAGATCCACAATGTGTCATTGATAATCAACAGATACCCCTAAAAAGTTAAATTGATAACCGTGAGCCACGACCCCTGAATGCTGAGCGTGAGCCGCGACTCAGAGCGCCTGAGTCACGCGAGTCACCGGAAGTTGCCGTGAGTCGCAAATCGTGCTTGCCCTCTCTCCTGTAATGCGCTGAAACAGGTTTGTTTTGGTCAGGTGTCCGTAGGCTCCAGTTAGGCCCCGTCCCAATACTCGCACTTCCACCCTCGCGCCCCTCATTTGCGCGTTCCCGATAAAGGGTGCGAGTGCGTAGGGTGTCCCAATTCTCCAGGGAGGTCTTTGGCCCCGCCCCCTTTGCGCCCCTGATCCACACTTCGCCGTAGCCTGCATCTATGCGCACTCTGGCGAAGGATATTGCCCATAATTCTTTGCGGTACACACCAAAACGTCGGGAAAATGCATTTAAATATACATTTTGAAATATATCTGCAGTATGTGTGTAAATAAGTTTTGCAATGTTACTTGGAAAGAAGCATAAACGTCTGATGAAGAATTACGGACATTGTGTTTTAACAATTTAATAACTTAAATTGTTAAAACAATTTAATAACTAAATTTAATAACTAAAACCAAGCGTTTATATAACATTCAATTTAAACTTTACACTTAGTACAATAATCTTAGAATGTATAAAAACTGACCAGATAGTTAGTTACCCACATTTAACTTAAAATTATACAGCTATCTCTAATTAGAAACCACTAATATACATGTATTTTAACGTGTGTGAAGCAATTCATTTAGTTTCCCAAAG